ACGTAACCGTGTAGTGGAAGTTGGACTCGAGGTAGTCCAACCAGCGGATCTGTCGCGGATTGAGGTTCGGTTGGGCGCGGAGGTACTGTAGTGATCGGTGGTCTGTCCGTACTGTCACGTCGGCACCGGTCAGGTAACACCGCCAAACCTTGAACGCGTGCACGATCGCCAGCATCTCGCGGTCGTGTATCGGGTAGTTGCGCTCGGGCGGGTGCAGCTTGGCTGGAGGCCGTTCCCGAAATCCTGCAACAGTACTGCTCCCACAGCGATGTCACTTGCGTCGGTGACGAGCTCGAACGGTCGGTGCGGATCTGCGATGTGAAGCACGAACGGCGAGCACAAAATTTTCTTGAGGACCAAGAAGAAAGCTTGCTCTTTCTCCCCCCACGTGTACTCAACCCCCTTCCTCAGCAGGTCGGTCAGCGGGGCGGTCAGCTTCGCCATGTCGGGGACGAACCGACGCACGTAGTTAACGAACCCCAAAAAACTCTGCAGTTCAGTCAGATTTGTCGGCGCGTGCCAAGCCTGAATCGTCGCGATCTTCTTCGGGTCTATTTCCACTCCGTCGGCTGAAATTATGTGCCCTAAAAACTCCAGTCTGTCCTGTAGAAACTCACACTTAGACGCTTTCGTCAGTAGGCGGTTCTCACTCAGTATTTTAAAAACTGCTTCGATGTCCTGTAGGTGCTGTGCTCTGTCGGGGCTGTAAATCAGTATGTCGTCTAAGTAGACAATGACGCACTTATCTACAAGCGGGCGGAATGCCTCGTTCATTGTCATTTGGAAAGTGGCGGGGGCGTTGGTCAGTCCGAAGGGCATGACGGTGTATTCAAAGGAACCGTAGCGTGTTCAAAAGCTGTCTCGGGGCAATCGGGCGGATTGACGCGAATCTGGTGGTAACCCCCTCTAAGGTCGATTTTCGAGAAAACCCGGGCTGTGCGCAGTTGGTCGATCAGTTTGTCGGCTCCCGGGATGGGGCAACGGGACTTGATGGTGTTCAGTGCCCTGTAATCTATGCACATGCGAAACCCCCCGTCCTTCTTCGGTGTGAACAGTATCGGTGCTAACTTGGACGAATAAACTCCTTCTCGAGCAGGTAATCCAGCTGCGTCCTCGGTTCGTCCAGTTCAGGTTGGGTCAATCGGAACTGTCGTTGTAGTGTCATACGGTTGGCTGTGCCCCCGGTTCTAATTCTATCCTGTGGTCGTGCGGTCGCTGAGGTGGCAGTCCCGTTGGCAGGTCGTCCGGAAATATCCCACTGTACCACTTCAGGAGTGCTGCCAAGTCAAACGGTACGTCGGCAAGCAGTTTCTGTAAATCCCCCCCTGGTCTGCTGCTTCGGCTTCCCGAATGTCAACCGCATACACGTCAGCTCCTGCCGCTACGGCGCGTTTCATCGTGATGCCATTGACACGCACCGACGAAGACTCAGGCGAGCCCCAGCGAGGTAAGGCGATGTTGTTATCGTTTACTCGCACGGTGCAGTCACCCGTCGTCCAGTCGATTCGCGGATTGTGTCGTCGCAGCCAATCACGGCCGAGAAAAATGTGAAGTTACCCCCGCATCGAATCCGAACCCGGTCTACGCGTTCCCGTATCGCCAGTGGCGTGCCGTCAACCAGTCTTGCGTCGATCTCAGGTAAGCATCTGTCCAGTGGCAGTTTCAGCTTCCGTGCCGTGGCAGTGTTGATGAGGCTGTGGCTGGCTCCCCTGTCTACGAGTATTTTAACTAAGTCTGTCACAATCTTCCCACTAAGCAGTATGGGGCTGTCTACCGCGGTACCCTCCTTATTCGGCCGAGTGTGGTCGATTCCGTGATCCGGCACAACTACTCGGTGAGGGTCGGTTGGGTCGGGCGAGCGGCGTGACCTGTCAGTAGAGGGCCCGTCTGCTACTGACTCCCAGCGTTTCCCTGCTGCTTGGTCTGTTTCTGCTGCTCAGCTTCCCCCTTTCCCTTAGCGTTTTCCAGGCATTCGCTGTTGCGGTGTTCCGGCCGATTGCACGTGAAGCTTTGAACGGTGCGGCAGCGGCATTCGCGGCGACGGCGCATATCGTGGCGCCCTCGTTCGTCCCACGAGATCGATGTCCCCAGTTGCTGCTGCTTCCGTAGGACCCCGGTCTCGGTCGGCGGACGATTTTGAGCTTCTCCGCCATAGCAAGAATCTCCTGAAAGTCGGTGACATTGCGGAACTGGATTTCCTGAGCGATGTCGTGCTTCAGGCCGCCGATGTAACGGCCAACATGCTCGCTCTCGTGCATGTAGCCTGCTTGCTCACATAGCACCGGAAACCTGCTGGTGTAGTCTTAACCGGAACCGAGTTGGCGCCAAGTGCGGAGCCTCTGACGCGCCGCGATCGAAGCCGCAATTGGCTCAAATCGAGCGCGCAGACCTGCGCACCACGCGTCCCACGTGCGATATTGGGGCACCTCCACGAAATACGACGGCGCCCAGGGTCCGGTTTGTCCTTCCCGTGTCGGTAGAGTCGTGTAGCCGTTCGGCTTCGTGACGATGACGCGCCACCAATCCATGGCGGGTCCTCGCAGCAGCGACACGGTGTAGCAAATTTTCGCCGTATCCTCCGAGACGTAGTTTGTGTAGAAGAACGTTCATCGTGAACAACCACGCCTGAACGGTAGGACCACCCCGTTGACTCGGGTCAAAGCATGGCGGACGTTGCGGCTTCAGCGGCATCAGTGACGGCAGTGCCGAATCAATGGTCGGTGCCGAGATCATGACGCGAAGCTGGCTTCGGGCCGCATTCGTCGCTTCGGGGTGTGTCGCGCCGTGGTCGTCGTCTCCGTCATGGCGGACGACGCCATCACTAGCCGCGCTCGCGGGTCGCCCCACACTTCCGTGCTGCGATGCCTGTGGTGCGGGCTGTTGTGGAGTGCCAGGTGCTTGTGATTGTGCTTGCCGTGCTCGTGCAACGTCATTCTGCAGGGATGTGCGTTCTGCTGTCAGCGCTGCGATTTCTTCAGAGCTTTCGCGAAGTTGCTGTAGCAGTTCGTTCAAGCGCTCCTGCGTGAGGGTGGTGACGTCAGTGTGCTCGGCAATGGCAAAGGGCATCGGCTCGGCTTAGTCTAGGCGCAGTCGTGGCTGCACGCGTTTACGAGAGAACGCGAGGACAGCGGCTCCTAGGGGCTAAGGTGCGTGAGTCCCTTCGAGTGAAAAATCAAAAGTTGATTTCCTGGGGTGCGGAGATGCGCGGTCCGAAAAGGAAAGAAGATATGAATACCAAGTGTTACGGGTGCAATGGATCGAGGTAGCGAGGATTGCACTAAGGTGTCAAACGAGTACATAACGTGAGCGAAGGCATGAGCGAACATTTATACGCGAAACATGCAAACGGTAACGCGGTGCGTGCGAGCTAGCTAGTGCTACGCTGGCAGCGAGGTTCGGGCTAGCCTCGAAGCGTAGGCCGACACGGCCGGGCCAGCAGTGCGTGGTTTGGCAAAGCAGTGCCGCCCTTATATCGCCATGCCATGTACGCACCAGAATTCAGAACCATTGAAACAAGAAGAGTAGCGGTCGGGGCAATCTGACAGCGGAACTATGTCCACGCGAGAATGGAGCGAGTGTGGAGGGGCGTGTGGGTGTACAAGGGAGCTGCTGGTTGTGCGACCGGGGTGGTGCTGCTGCGAGGGCACGAGTCCAGCAGATGCAGCACCTGATGATGGTTGGCAAAATGGGGGGGGGGGAGTGGTTGGAGGGGGGTTTATAGAACGGAAGGTTGGTTGAGGGCGGTTGTATGTGTGGCCGAAGTGGTGGTGCTGGTGAGAGGGCCTGAGTCCAGCACGTGCAACAGCTGATGATGGTTGGCAGGGGGTGGTTGTTGGCAGGGGGTGATGGTTGGCAGGGGGTGGTGGTTGGCAGTGGGTGGTTGTTGGCATTGTTGGCAGGGGGTGGTTGTTGGCAGGGGGTTGACGTCAGCAGCATGGAAGGTTGGGTTAGAGCAGGTGGAGGGAGGGAGGTGCAGCATGCGAAGGAGGGAAAAGGGGAGGTCGGGGGAGAGGAGGGAAAGGAGGAGATGCAGGAGGAAGAAAACACTTCAAAGGGAGATCGAGAGTATATAATCACTGCCCGGTTTACCGTGGTTAGAGAGAGAAGAGGAAAGGAGGGGCGTACCTGCAGCATGGAGGCCGTACCTGCAGCATGGAGGGCCGTACCTGCAGCATGGAGGGTCATACATGCAACATGGAAGGCTGCAGCGAGGGGTCCTTGTGTGTGCAGAGCGAGAGTTCATATCTTGTTCCAAGTTACTGTGGATGGAGAAAGAGAGGCACCCGTACCTGCAGCATGGAGGGTCGCAGCGAGGGGTCCTTGTGCGTGCAGAGCAGGGCCGTGCGGTCGAGCAGGGCGAACTGGTGCGGGTGGTACCTGCCGTGCAGGGCTGGATCAGCCACCTCATGCAGCGTACCCGCCTCAATCAGTGGCCGTGCCTGGTAGGGAGGGGGGAGAGGGGCGGAGCGATGGTGGGCACGGAAGAGTGAGCAGGGCGAACTGGTGCTGGTGGTACCTGCTGTGCAGGGCTGAATCCGCCACCTCATGCAGCCTGCCCTCCTCTATGAGCGGCCGTGCCTGGCAGCCACACAGACAGGTGGCAGGGAGAGAGGCGGAAGGCGCACAGGCAGGCAGGCAGACAATGGAGGATGAAAGAAACGGTAAAACTAGGAAACTGAGCAGGAAAGGAAGGGAGTGGCTGGTAGGGAGAGGAGAGGCACAAGAATGTGATGAGGTAACGTGAGGTGATGTGAGGCAGAAAGAGTGGATAGAAGGTGGGCGACAATATGATGGAGTTGCTCCTTAGACAATGACAGAGCTCACTATCGAGTACAATCCATTTCCGTCCCATCCCACCCCACCCCACCCCAACTCAACGCACTCCACCGCAATCCACCCATTGCACAAGGGACTGGACCGAAGAGGGGGGGGGGAGGGGAGTCGTCGACAGGGGGCTGGCCTGAGAGCATCCCACCCCACCGCGTCCCACCCACACTCACCTATTGCGTGAGACACTGCATTCCCCGGGGCCGGGTGTCGTCCACCGGGGGTTGCCCTGAAAGCAGCTCGAGCAGCACCACTCCGAACGCAAACACATCCGTGCGGGTGCTCACTGCCCTGTGGGATAGGTACTCTGGCGCCAGGTAGCTGGAAGAAGGGGGAAGGTGTTGAATGGGTGGATGAGGGAGCATCGAGAGGGGATTGCACCGACAGCATATTCAGCAGCACCACTCCCAACACAGACACGTCCGTTCTCGTGCTCACCGCACCGTGGGATTGGTACTGGTACTGTGGTGCCAGGTAGCTGGCGGTGGCAGGGAGGGGCACGAAGGGGTGGGACAGGTGGATGAGGGAGCCGTCCATAGGGGGCAGGCCCAAGAGCAGCTCGAGCAGCACCACTCCAAACGTAAACACGCCTGTGGCCAAACGGACCGCGCGTGGGACAGGTGCTTAGGCGCCAGGTAGCTGAGGAGAGGAGGGGTGGGGGGGAGGGTTACGGGGAGGGGAGGGTTGAAGGGAGAGGTGGGAGGGTGGTTACATGAAGTGTGTGAAGTAGTTGATAGAAGGTGGCTTCTACATCACAGCAAAGAAGAGGCTGCTCACGAGCATATGGACTGATGGACACACAAAACGCCAGGACTAGTGGGCACGCTGGAAGCACAAGCACAAGTATAATCACCACAATCACAGCTGCAACAAGCAGAGTCGCATGCCGCCCCCCACATGATCATACCCTTGAAACACGCCCCCTTTACACACTCTCGTGCAATCACTTTCCGTGCACTGCACTCACCCGAAGGTGCCTGCGAGCGGCACTTGCATGGACGCATTGTTGGGGGCAGCAAAGAGAGCCAACCCGAATTCCGATAGCTGGTGGTGGGGAGAGAATGAAGGGTAGGGGGCAGGGGCGAGGGGCGAGGGGATCAGGATGGGGAGTGAGCGGCACTTGCATGAGGCATCGTTGGGAGCGGCAAAAAGAGCCAACCCGAATTCCGATAGCTGGTGGGACACGAGGGGCAAGAGTGGAGGGGCGGGGGGTGAGAGGTGATGGGTGGGGGGTGAGAGGTGAGGGGTGGTGGGTGATAGGTGAGGGGTGGTGGGTGAGGAGTGAGGGGAGAGTTCCATGAGGGGCAACAGACTTCTCCCCGCCCTTTATGAGAGGGTTGGGAGATGTGGTGGTGGAGTGGTGGACTGGGGAAGAGAAGGGGGATGGGGATGGATGGGATGGAGGGGGATGGATAGGGATGGATGGGGTGTGGGGGGGGGATGTGTGTGTGATTATGAGGGAATCGTGGGAGGAATGAAGAAGGGTATGTGGAAGACACTCACCTTCACCTCGCCGCCCCTTGATAGCATCACACCTGACGCCCGCACGTTCCAATGCACCACTGCACGGGACGCCCCCTCGTGTGGGTAGTGCAGCGTTAGTGCCAGCTGGCGCGCTATTATTGGCCGCATGGGCCAAGGGAGAGGGCCTGAGGAAAGTTGTGGGGAACGGGTTGATTGGAGGCGGGAGGAGCAAGTGGGGAAGAGGAGGAGTGAGGGAAAGAAGGGAAGAGAGGAAAATGAGGGCAAGGGTAGAGGCCGGGCTTAAGAAAACGAATCGACTTGATATTTAAAACCCAAAGCCTGAATTACACAATGAAGTCAACGCAAAAATTGTAGGTTCGGAAAACCCCATAAGGAGGTTCGTTGGGCAAATCGAAATCCAATCGCGTTAACAACTCATCCAAAACTTTGGATCAATCACGTGAAACTGGTGACAGTTTGCCACCCGACTCGGTAGTTTTGGGTGTGGCTTTTAAGCACACAAAGGATGGAGCAGAGAAAGGCATTTAAACGCATTGAATGGATGGGGCATAGCAGCACAAGGAGAAGAGCCTAACACCATACACGTTAGCATCAGCTCAACACCATCTTTGCATACCATAGTTAGCAGCAGAGTCCCCCAGACTCCCCTTTAAGAGCAGACTCGAGGGCGCCTCCCTCCATCTGTTCGAATACTAGCGCCACCTTGTCCCTCCTCTCCCCACACACCCCCATCAGCTGTGCCACGTGGCAGTAACTCATCGTCGCTAGCACCACCAGCTCAACCGCCACCTCGCTGCTCAGCCCATGTTTCGCGGCCAATGGCACGCTGCCACGTGGGCTGCCCCCTTGCCAAGCAACGATAACCCCACCAGCACCATCACCTAGCAACATCAGCAGCAGCAGAAAAGGCAAAGGAGAGCATCTCGCGCCTGACGGCTATCTGCTGTCCACCAAGCAGCCGCCCCGGCTGTAGCCCCCGCACGATCCCAGAAGGTTCCTTGTGCACATGGTTGACTGGGGGAGGAGCGGCTGATGGATGGTTAGGGAATTGTGAGATGGTATGAAGTCTGTGGTTCTGTGCACCCACCTTCCTTGTCGAATTAAATCAAACAGGCTGGCAGGATGACTTATGTGCCCGTAGACACACCTGCACGCGCTCCCTCCCTCCTGTCCCCCCCTCTCCCCCCCTTGTGCTCGTGCATGCACAAATGCAATACGCGTGGACTCGCATACGCACGCACACACACGGACAACCCCACCCCTCCAGCGGCACACACCTCCCACTCCCACAACACACACACACACACACACCTCCCACTCCCACAACAAACACACACACCTCCCCCATTCCTACATAAACACTTGCAATAAAAACCATCACCACATCAAGCCCCCCCCCTCCCCTCCCCGCCCCTGCACTCACGCCATCGATCGCCACTGCAGCTTCCTCCTTGGCCCCTCCCACACCACCAGCGCCCCCGTCCCTCCTATGCCCGCCACCCCATGCCCTGCCCCCTTGCCCACCGCCCACTACCTGTGCAGCCACTACTCCCCCAGCAGTGAGCCTGGCGCCGTGAGTGAAGGAGAATTTCCTTCGCACAGCATGGGATGGCAATGCCAAGGCTGCACGCATAGCTACGCCATTGCCGCCACCATTGCTATTCCAACCCAGCCCTGCAACAGCCCATGGTTCCCTTCCATACGCCCCTTCTTCTGCGAGGACCTCACCATCCTGCAGTTTCGGTGCGACATACATGCTGACAGAACCAGAGTCGGTGGCGTGTCTGACCAAGTGGCATAATACGATCGTCCGCCCCGCAGCTTTGCCACCCGTGCTGACGAAGGTGAAGCCGCCCTCGCTGATCAAGACCCAACTGAACCTTACCCCGGCCCACGACCCTGGAGCGTCGACAATGAGGATGAGGACAGCGCACCCGTCGACTCCTCTCGTGACTCCCTGCTAAGCCCCTCCCCATCCAGTGCCAATCAATCCGATGATGACGTCATGGAGGTCACTAGTGAGCAGCGGCACAGCCCCAGCCTCTCTGGCCTTTCGCTTCTTAGCCTTCACATGGCTGTCTCTCACCCATCGAAAACGGTTGAACCCAAAGTGAGAAATAAGAGAGGAATGTGTGCACTAGGAAGGTTGGGAGTACAAGTACAAAACTCTAACAAACTGTACCCCCTATAACCAAACCCACTGTAGCCTACACAACTACAGCATATGATGTTTAACACACCCCCATAGGCAAAGTGGGGGAGAACAAGTGGTCACAAGACCAGTCAAGCAAAGCAAGGTAAGCTCAGGGTGGATCACAAAGTCACCACACATTCCGAGCATCGTTTCAAGGCCATAAGGCCAGTTCACATGCAAGATTATATATGAAGGTAAACAAACAAGAGCAGGTATAGATATATATATCACAGTACAAGCGAGGTCAAGAAGTGAGCAAGTGAGGCAAAGTAGGCACAAGACCTAGCAACGTACAAAAGCGCTGATGATCACAAGGCTGAAGTGCCTTGGTGAAGATATCAGCAGTGTTGGCCTGAGAGGCCATGTAAGCAAGGCGCAGCTGACCACGCTGCTGCAGCTCACGAGCAAGGAAGTAACGAAGAGCAATGTGCTTCGTTCTGTGCTCCAGTCTGTGCTCCCGACACAAGGCCAGCATGGCCTTGTTGTCTACGTACAGGACTGGAGGAGAACGAGGCGGCTCTCCAAGGTCAGTCAGCAGGTAGGTCAGCCAGCGTAACTCCTGAGCAGCCATGGCTCCCGCGTAGATCTCAGCCTCACAACTGGAGCTGAGAACAGAAGACGAGCGGGTGGACCGCCACGAAACAGAGCCGGAACCAAGGCTGAAGGTGTAACCCTGTGACGACCACTGCGTAGCCAGGTCGTCGACCCAAGACGCGTCTGCGTGACCAGTGAGGACCACTGGACTCCGCCCTCCAAGCACGAGCCCCATGCCCGACGTACTGCACAAGTAGCGCAAAACCCTCTTCGCTGCAGCCATGTGCTCTGGTCGGTGTCTCCCAGGAGCAACATAGCGTGCCAGGATGCTAAGAGGGTAGGCCAGGTCAGGTCGAGTGCAGGTCATCAGGTACATGAGGCAGCCAACAAGCTCTGGGTACGGGCCACTCGGCTCTACGGACTCATCCGAAGGCAGAGCTGAGAGCGAGTGGCGAGTAGACAGAGGAGTGGCCTGAGGCGAGGAGTACGTGAAGTCGAAGCGCTAAAGGACCTGCTGCACCATGTGTGACTGAGTCAGGGTAATGGTGCGGCGTGCTCTGTCCCGAGTGATCTGCAAGCCAAGATAGCTGCGCAGTTCACCCAGGTCTGTGCACGTGTGTCGCTTCTGCAGCTCGGACTTCACGTGGGCGAGTCCAGCAGTGTCAGCTGTAGCAAAGACCAAGTCGTCGACGTACACGAGGATGTAGAACGGCGGCAAGGAGGTGTCGGTGCGTAGAAACAGTGACGGGTCTGCAGTAGAAGGAGCAAACCCAAGAGCCGCAAGCGTAGTCCTCAGTGTGTCGTGCCACTCACGCGGCGCCTGGCGGAGACCGTAGACTGGGCGCCGGAGGCTCCACTGGGTGCCAGGAGGAAACGTCCCAGTGAAGCCAGGTGGGCGGCGCAGCCAGATCTCCTCGTGCAGGCTGCCCTGTAGGAAGGCTGTGCTGAAGTCCAGAGAGTGAAGCTCGTAGTCACGGTGAGCGGCTATGTGTAGCAGCACCCGAAGAGTAGTCTGAAAGTAGTCAACTCCCTGCCGCTGACTGAAGCCTCGAGCCACGTAACGCGCCTTGAAGACAGGCGGAGAACCTGGCGGCCGCTTTACCCTGAAAATCCACATGCCACTGACGATGTTCGCCCCAGGTGGGGGAACCTCGTCAACGTAAGTGCCTGTGGACTTCCAGGAAGCCATCTCTGCGTCCATGGCTGCCTGCCACTGAGAGGAGTAGGGACCCTCTATCGCCTCCGCGTAAGATCGCGGAGTCGGGATGTCTAGTGCATCCGGGTCTCCCTCAGGGGCAAGCAGTGAGGACACAAGATGGGGTAAAGCAGCAGCAAGACACTGGAACTCCTCCTGCCTGTCCTCAAGGACGTCCGTGCTAAGAGCACACTCACCCCCGACGGACGGAGGACAGACAGACTCAGACTCAGCAACAAGACTAGCGGCGTAGTCGAGACGACAGGCAGCAGCAAAGTCGACAAGCTCAGCGACTAAGGCAGACGCAGCAGTAGACTCAAACGACGGGTCAGTGACAATAGTGGCTAACAGACGCGTGACAGTGGGGTGCTCAGCGCGAAACCGGTCAGACTCAGGGTCCGGAACGACAGGCAGAGAGGACGCAGGTGGGGAAGGCAGAGGAGCAGGCAGCGGAGCAGAGGAAGGACGACGGACGACAAGGTGTGCGCCGGGGGCAGTCTGCTGACGCGCACGAGCGACACGACGACCGGTACGACCAGGACGAACAGGCGAGACAGGACGCGACGTAGGCTCACGACGCTCAGCAAGACTACCGGTCTGCTCAGTGTAAGGAGAAGGAGCAGGCAGCGGTGAGCCAGCCGGTAACGGAAGACCAGTGGACGACGGGAGAGTAAGAACCTGACGAAGAAGAGAGTCAGGCGACGGCAGCGACGACGGAGAAGGCGGAGCGAAGAACAGTCGTGTCGGCGCAGCTGTACCAGCTCCGGCAGCTCCAGCAGCTCCAGCAGCGCCAGCACCTCCAGCAGCGCCAGCGCCTCCAGCAGCTCCAGAAGCTCCAGCCTCAGAACCGGTACCTCCAGCGCCAGCAGCTCCAGAACCAGCGTCACCAGCAGCCGCACCCCCAGAACCGGCACCTGCAGTCCCAGGGTCTCCAACCGCAGTGTCTCCCGCAGCAGCACCCCCAGAACCAGCACCTCCAGTCCCAGGGTCTCCAACCGCAGCGTCTCCCGCATCGGCACCTCCAGGCGCAGCACCCCCAGCCCCAGCAGCTCCAGTACCTCGAGCAGCAGAGTCCCGGGCTCCAGCAGCGCGACGCTGACGGCGACCGTACCAGTCGTGCAGCTGCTGAGTGGTGAGAGGCACACGCGGACGAAGGCGGCCACTCCAAGTAGGCCGTGCACCAGCAGTCCCAGTACCCTCAAGCGTCTCACCGCCAGACTCAGCACCCCCAGACTCCGCACACACACGCTCAGCACCCACAGACACAGCACCCCCAGGCGCAGGACCTCCAGTCTCCTCACGCGCAGGCTCAGCACCCCCAGACTCCGCACCCCCAGACGCAGCACCTCCAGGAGCACCACCCCCAGCAGCACCAGAGTCAACAGTAACCGGCTGCAGAGGCGGTGAAGAAGGTCGCGGGGGGAACCCCGGAGGGGTCTCCAAGCGTGGTGCGCGGCGGTAGGCCGACGGGGCGCCAGCAGCAGCGTCACCCCCCTCGGGTGGGCCAGAGGTGTCGGAAGTGACCTCCAAAGGCTCAGCCAAGGGGGGGGGGTCTACCTGAGACACACCTGAAGGAGCAGGACCCTGAGGGGGGAGGGGGTCTACCGGGGGGGACCTGGCGTAAGGAAAAGCGGCCGGGGGGGGAGGGGGGCAGCGCGGTAGGGGAAGAGACGGTAGTACGGAACCGACTCGTCAAACGTGACGTCCTGGGAGGACAGAACACGGCGCGAGGTGGGGTGGTAAAACTGCCAACCAGGCGCGTCAGGGGGGAAGCCAAGGAAGACGCAGGGAACAGCACGGGAGGACATCTTGTCCGCAGACAAGTCTCGGACAAAAGCCCGAGATCCCCAGACACGAAACGCAGACGCATCGCCAACCTGCCCCGTCCACCTCAGAGAGGGGGGGAGGTGTCCGGCATGGAGACCCGGGGCTGAAGGTTGATCTGACGCGCCGCGTACTGAACCGCAAACGGCCACAGAAAATGGGGAGCAGCCGCATGGATCATGGACGTACGAGCGACGTCCATGACCATGCCAATGCGGCGCTCAGCAATCCCATTTTGCTGTGGAGAGGCCGGAAGCGTGAACGTCTGGCGGATGCCCCTCGCACGACAGAAGGCTCGCAGAGGGCCGGAGGAAAACTCCCCACCTCTGTCGGAGTGCAGACGCAAAACAGGAAAGTCATAGCCAAAACTCTTCCTGAGCTGGAGACGAGCAGCGCGGATCCAGTCGATCAACACCTCAGTGACCTCATCCTTGCGGCGCAAGGGGAAGACTGTGGTGTAACGCGAGTAGTCGTCAACCACCAGCAGGAAGTAACGCTCATGACCCTGTCCACGGACGCGGGCTGGGCCCCACACGTCCATGTGAAGAGTCTGCAGCGGAGCCTCTGTCGGCGGAAACTCGGAGGAGTGAGGAGCGGCGCGCTGCCGCCCCTCGACGCAGGGGACGCAGGTAGGGGCAGGCCCCGGGGGGAGGGGAGGGAGCGACCGGGGAAGACCAGAGACCAGGACACGAGAGGCCATGCCTCGGAGACGAGGCAGGGAGGGGTGACCAAGACGGTGGTGCCAGAGAAGAGTCTCGTGGGACAGGAGGCGACACGAGCAGGGGGCAGACTCAGGACCAGACCGAGACGCCGCAGCAAACACCTGACCCGACGCAGCTACCTGACCAGGCACAGCAACCGGAGGAGACTCGGTAGTGAGGGTGTACAGGCTCGACCCCGGCCGACGGGTAAACGTGGCCAAGTGTCGGCCCGTGTCCGCACACGTGCAGTGGGTCACCCGCTGACGCGCAGGGGTGAACTGGTCAACCCCCCCATCTTGTAGGTCAGC